GCTGATTGTCGCTCAGCCTCTCTACAACCCCAATCTCGCTCCTTCCGGCTACTGGGTGTTCAGAAATCTGCAGCGCTTCGTGGTTGGAAAAAAGTTCAAGTCAGAAAGACACTCGACGACTTCTTCAGGTTCCAGCACCCGCCCTTACGGAAGGAAGGAATCGACAAGCTGCCTGAGCGTTGTAGTGGATGATGATGGCGCTCCTCCAATCTTCAGGATCATTCGCTATCGAGATATTTCTTAAAAAAAAATCGGAAAAAAAAACTTATCCATCAACCTAATATATTCTAATTCAATCATCGTTAAACGACAGAAGTGAATGCAGATTTATTCGAAAAATTGACTCTGGCAAAGGGCTATTAGATTGTTTTGGAGAGGATTAATCTAAGCAGAGCCCTTTGTACAAGAATGCTGTGGTACAGCCATTCGGACACTTCGAGCACGTCTTTCCTGGAGTGTAGATCTTCTGGCCGACAGTGTTGCCTCTGAAAATAAATGATTTATCAGTGATCTTCTATTCGGGCTAGCTTCTTAGAGGGCCTCTCCACTAAGGTTATTATTACCTTCACTCTTCTGCCCATACTATTCAAAAAGGAAATTTTCTTCTGAAAGCCCTGAGCAGAAGCGCTGTGTGGAACTTTTTACCCTACGTTTACTAGAGGCTTGCTGACGCAATTTAAAAGATCACTGCGACATAAGCAGTTACTCCGAGACGAGAGATAAAAAGCCGAGGAAAGTGAGTGTTCCAAACATAGCCGTTAGCTAGGTTTTCCTGAATATTTGAAGGCAAACGTGTTCGAGATCTGTTTCTCGTTATCTACACGAACTTTACTATGAATATGGAAGACGATTAAGCCAAGCAGAGGTCATGATTCGTAGTATCAACGCTATTCGGATGAGAGACATCGGAACTACGTTAGTTCCATAGGTTTTATAGCGACGATATAAACCTCTACGATAAGAAAGTTTGGCGCCGCTCTTCTGAAGTTGACGACTCCCTGCTGAGAAACAAGGTTCTCTTGAGACAACACGAGAGTAATTCAAAAACTAAAAGTTGACCGTCTGATAGCAATATCCTTTTTGGAGAACTATGAAAAGCTTGGATAGTGAGTGCTGCATGATCAGAACATTCAAAGGAAACCGTCGTTATGAGATCTGCTCAGCGCTCAGAGCAAGAAAGATCTTTGTACCCTA